CGCCTACAACAAAACGTTGTTACAATCACCAACAAAACTTGTAGCTCGCTTAGAAATGATGATAATTTAATGTATACGATAAATCCAACTGGCAAATTCTTCAAATTTTCTAAAGTCAATTGCTCAAAAGTTGCCAAAATACTACAATCTATGAGAATTTCCAAAGCCGCTGGCCCCGACAACTTGCCAGCATCTCTCTTGAAGGATGCGTCTGAAGAACTAGCGCTGCCTCTTTGTATATTGGTCAACATGAGTTTTGAATATGGAACTTTCCCAAATGCAGAAAAATGCGGAAAAGTTATCCCGATCTATAAATCCGAAGATCGAGCATCTTTCGACAATTATCGACCTATATCGGTCCTAAATACGGTTTCAAAAGTCATCGAAAGGATTGCACATCAGCAAATCACAGACTATCTTGAAAGAAACCAATTACTCTGCCCTCAACAATTTGGTTTCAGACGTGGGAAATGTACCCAGCATGCTGTGACATATCTCAACGAACATATTCGTCAAAATATGGATAAAAGTCGATGTACTGGTGTAGTATATCTGGACTTACGAAAAGCATTTGATACGGTTAGTCATGCATGTTTGCTCAATAAGCTGCCGTATTATGGAATAAGAAACATCGAACTTCTTTGGATGAAGGATTATTTACTCAATCGATCTCAGTTCGTATACTTCAACCAAGTTAAATCAGATGAGAAGCATGTATCCTGCGGTGTCCCACAAGGATCAATTCTCGGCCCTCTTCTGTTTGTCTTACAGATTAACGATTTATACTTGTCTTTGAAGAAATGTAACATCATAATGTATGCTGATGATACTGTGCTATATTATTCAGCGAATGGCACAGATGAAATCCAGAGATCTATCAATAGTGATATCGAACGTGTTTCCCAATGGCTGGACTCAAATAAGTTAATTGTTAACCTGAAAAAAGGAAAAACTGAATTTGTATTATATGGAACGCCTCAAAAATTAGCACGTCAACAGGATTGCAGTATAATGATGAACGGGACATCTATCAATCAAGTTAAAGAGTGTGAATACTTGGGTATTATTATGGATAACCATCTAACTCTATCAAGTCAAGTGTCAAAAGTATATAAGAGAGTTTCGTCTCGTTTGAGCCAACTCTCACGAATACGCTCTAATATAAGTCCCTATGTTGCGGAAAGAATTTATCGAACAATGATCTATCCCATTATGTTTTACTGCTATCCAGTGTATTTGGGCCTCAGTAACACAGCTAATTCCAAAATACAGAGACTGCAAGATAGAGCGGCAAGAATAATTGGTCCAAAAAATTGTTTACATGATGATTGTGTAACTAGTCGCAAAAGATGTGTTGTAATGGATGTTTTTAAATCTTTACATTCGATTGGCCCAAATTTTCCCCACGTGAACTTCCAACGTTTCAATCACGGAATAAACACGCGAAGCAACAACTCACGTTTAATTGTACCGAAAGTTAAGACAGAGGCCGGTAGAAAGTCGTTCTCCGTGCAAGGAGTTTTGCTGTTTAATTCACTAAGCGAGGAAATAAGGAATGAGAACTCGTATATTAACTTTAAAAGAAAAGTTGAATCTTTTAACTTTAGTTCGCCGTAATTGTGAACATTTTCGTACTATTGTTAATGTATGTTTAGTGATCATGTTTTGTACATTCTATGTCATAAGAAAACAATCTTAGTTAAATACTTAATTAATTTTAGCATAAATACAGGTCCTTCATTGATAGCAGGCGGTACACTGCCTGAAGAAGTCAACCTGTCTAAATATGTTAATTAATAATAATAATAATAATATTTGAAAAAGGTGATTTACAACTTATTGTGTGAGAAGATGAAGCTTTTTTTAATCTTTGCTTTCTTTACTCCTGGCAAACAGCTATATCTTTGATATCAGTGAGATGACCACACATGCATAGCCATGCGCCCGCGATTATTGATGAACTTTAGACTTCACTAATTCTTTCCTTTCCCCGGGTGTAAATACCGAGCGGAATTGGTACCCTCGGCACGGGATTCCCCCTACGCGCTCCGCGCGTGGCTCGGGGGTAAATAAAAGTCTTAAGCACCAACCTTCAACAACGTGTGTTCCAAAAGTACTCAAAAACTTCATGTACTTTGTCTCATCATACGTAACAGGCAGCGAGTACATCATTCCTGCATAAAAATTAGCATGCAATGGCGGAGGAGTATAAGCAAGGATTTTGGCAGTATATTTACTGCATTTTGCACTGGAAATGGTAAAAATTTCTTTGGACTTCCATGTCGTCTCCTCTATGCGTTTATAGTCTTCGCTTCCACTAAATGATCCACTAAAATCGATATCTGAAAAAGATCCTTCACCAGAAAGCGATACTTTTTCTAGAAGAAAATCGTAATAGGTCTTTGTATTTTCAATAGTCCTACTTTGAAAGTTAACGTCACAAACTTCAGCCGCAAAACACTCTACCCCGTTAGGGATCATGGAACGCAGATCGGGTATTCGCTCCGAGCCATATTCATCAACACTATAAATCGCGCTACGAAATCCTGGATCGGCGTTTACAAGAGTTGCATCGGGATTTCCTTTGAAAATGTCGTAGCCACGGCCAAGGTAGCCAATGTTGGGAAATGCAGTCTCGCCAGCACTTCCTATTGGCAAAAAGGAAAGGATCGGTAAACTTATAACTGCTACCAAATACGAAAATGTGAATATTGTCTGTATATTAATATTTGGCATTGTTAATGCGTATTAGATTAAACGGTCTGAGCCTAGGATTGGGGAAAAGTGCTCATGTCATACGGTAGAACTTGTTATTGACATAAATATCTTGATATGTCGTTCGTCTTCAAGCAAATGTGGTATTATCAACCTGTCAGATACAAAACTTTCAAACCATCAACACATCAAGAAGAACAGGAAATCGATGGATCAAACTGCCTGTAATTTTAAACTAAAAAATGCAACACCGGAACATAGCAAAATTCATACACCATTAATTAAAGGACAACGAGAATCTGGAATGTACTACCGAGACTGATACTACCGAGCGATTATCAGAAAGTTTTTTTTTTTAATTTAATATAAATATGTGACTGCTTCAAATAAAAGTGGAATGTTTGTTGAGCACTATGCTGTGCCTACTATTCCATTTTTACTTGAACCACTCAAATATAGATATTTAGTATACACGCAACCAGGGTCTATCACAAATCCAGCATTCTGATTGGCTACTGACCAGGCATCATTACGTAACGGGCAACGGTTGAGAAAAAAGATGGAGGAAATTTTGTTTTGCAATAGTTTCGGGGCAATTTGTAGTAAATTCTTTTCCCGAAAAACAAAAAGACTACAAAATATTATCTGAATATGTTAAATTAAAAACAATTTAAAATTTAAAGTGATCGTGTTGCTATAGCAACACTCAACTCACAACCGAGCCTGCGTTCAGTGCGGCCAATTACTAATACTTCACGTTAATTCAATGTTTACAAAATGTATTTCTACTGTATAGTTCCGAAAGAAATTGTCGGCGTTGAGGCATGTGATGACGTTTATATTTATGAGGATGACCGCTGTTGATGCCAATGGATATTATTATTATTATTACATGGGTCTGAAATGGTGCGCTGGGATGTTCTGTAACGTGAACACTTTTCGCCGAAAATGTTTAACGTAAATAGAATCATCACCTTATGCTGTCAGTTTCGGAAACATATGGCTGAACAGTGAAAGCTAATATCGAGTATACAATAACAGAAAAAAAGGTACCTCTTGGTGATGTTAAATGTAATGCAAGAAAAACAACAAAGCTACACTGGCAAATCATGATCATCACGAAAAACTGAAAAAGAAAAGAGAGATAGGACCACATAGTTAACCTTCAGTCCTTGATGAGGTAGGGGGGGGTGGAGCATCCCCAATTTTTGGCGTCTACGTACTAGAGAGTGTCCTGCAGATTCACTAATTCTTGGAGATTTCCGAATTACGCTTTTTTTAAATTATGTCCATATATAATTGGTTTGATCATATGACAACACTTTGCAGGCATCGGAGATTTCCGAATTACATTTGTTTAGTATAGTTTTAGTCAGAAAGGTATTTTTGTATTATTAATATATGTGAGTGGTTCAAGTAAAAGTGGAATTTTTGTTAATCGTCCTTATTATCTGTAGACTTAATTAAAGGTAGGGAGCAAAATTTAAACTGTATTTTAATGAGAAATCTGCTGTTACTTGTCACAAAAGTATGACACGAAGACAGACGTATAGTCTCCTTCGCAGACGTTCTTATCACTCCAACCCTCGCTAACAGGATATTGTGAACACTTGACTGAACTGTGGACTTGACATGGACTGGACTTCGGACTGGACTCTGGCTTAGAAATTTTCTCTTTACAGTAAGATTTTCGCCAAGTTCCTATAATTACAGTTAAGAACACCAATAATCAGCTCGAAAGTTGTAATACATGAGGTAATAATATACATGCAACACACACAACCTTTTCTGGGAACGAATCACTGTGTTAGCGTAATGTGATTCAAGTGTACTGACTAATAGTATATGTTTTTGTTTTCTAGACCTTTGTCTTTGACATGCTGAAAACTTGCCCAACAAGCAACTAATAATAAAATTGAACTGTATACTATGTCGAGTGTGGCATAGGCCCTGCTTTGACAATACTAGTCACAATACAACAAATCGAAACTGAAGTGATATATATATATATATATATATATATATATATATATATATATATATATATATATATATATATATATATATATATATATATATATATATATAAACCGTAAGCTGCATATTAGTACTAAATTAATAATGAAGACCGTCGATCGTAGTGTATCGCTGGAAACAATTATAAAGTTCTCGGACCTCTACCAGTTGAATGAACATTTCAACACATTTTACAAAAAGGTTTCGTGAATGTTACCGAAAAGAGTAATTAATCTTTCTTTATAGTGAATTGCTGCATCCACAAAAGAAGCAAAACTGAACTTTACCTCCACGTTGTAAAACAAGTAAGGTGC